CTGGGGCCCCGCCGTGTGCGCGCCCCGCAAAGGCCGCGAGTGGCGGTCGGGAGCCGAAGTGCCCCGGGTTTTTCGTCGTGGTTTATTGTGTCCCAGTCAGCGTGGATTCTGGTTAGTTAAGGTGTCGAGAGAGGCCTCTTGATGCTGGTGAAGGCTTTGCCAGCTCGCACCAGAGAACTCGCTTTTTTTCTGTTGAAATTGGGATGCTCATTCAAGTTTTGTCTCAGAGAGCTGCTGTTTGGCATGGCAGAAGACACGTGCATTAGTATCCTTTTATTGCTTGTTGCTTTTTAGGAACATCGTGTTTCAGAGCAGGCTTCAGTGTTGATTTTCTTACCCAGCTATAAGCTAGTTCGCTCAGTTTGATCACGAGTGTAACAGTGTGATGCTTTACTGCATTTTGGTGCCAAAACGATCTGTAACATGCTCTGAGTTTTTGTTTTGACCTTCTTGAATGACTTTCTGATTTCTCTTCTTTTTTAGAGCAGGCAGCATTGTAGGATCAATGATCAAGAAACTAATGGCAAAACATCATCTGCCAGTTCGAATGACTTCAGTGATCCTGTTTACAAAGAAATTGCTATAACTAATGGTTATATCAACAGGATGACCAGAGAAGAGCTCAGAAGTAAGCTTGCCGAGTTCAAGCTCGAAACCAGGTTAGGCTTATTTGTAAACATTTTGATTTGTCTTTAAGAACAGTAGAACCATACGGGATGATTATTTTAAAGTTTAAAAGTTCAGCACAGAGTGAAAAGCAGACACAGCACCAAATACCAGTTGTTTTATGTGCAGTTGTGATGCAGCTTTTGTTGTAGTATTAATGCATACTGCCTAATGTGTGATGTCTCAACTGGTAACCCAAAGAAATGAAAGAATGTGTAACGGTAGGGTATTTCTCATCACATTTTTTGTCAAGGGGCAAAGAAGAACTGCAGTGATCTCAGATGATGTTTCAGACCTTCAGCATATAGAAACTTACTTCAAAACATAAATATTTTAATTTCCTGTACCAGTATAGTTCTGATACTTGCTAGAAACTGTGTGGTGATGGGGCTCATGATTTAATAAATGCAGAGGACAGGTACCTTTAGATGGAGAGTTTGCCACTGTGAATAGATATACTAGAATAATGTGAAAAGATAAATTTATTATAAGCTGAATTTTATTTATTATAAGTTTATTATAAGCTGAATTATAAGCTGAATTTTGCTCACTGGGAAGGAGGAAAGGCAATAGAGCATACTTCCTGCTGTATTGGAAATGACCTGCAAGACTCTGATACTGCTGTGGCCAGACAAATTTGAGATATTGTGTAGAAGGTCTGCTGGGAAAAACAAAGTGTATTGTTTCTGTAGGCAGCAGTAATGAGGAAGTAGTGGTGGGGAGTTAGCAAAGTGAGAAGCTTCTGCTCTACAGGAAGAGGGAATATAAAAGGTGAGATGGAGTCTGAAAGAAAAGCCTTCTAGAGAAGACAGAGACTGTAGGGGACAGGCTGTTCAGAGGGGAAAAAAAAAGGATTTAGCAGAGATTGATTTGAACAGAATCAAAGAAAAAAATGGTGTGGAGGAGAGAAGTGCAGCCTGCTGCCTCCAACATATCTGTCTGCAAATGTTCTGACTGCATAGTTTTTTCAATTCTTCCTTTGGTTAAATTAATTTAGCACCTCAGGAGGAAAAAAAATTATCATTACTTGAGAAAATTTTCAGTAAAACAGGTTAGATTTGTACAGCTATTCAGTAGTTAATCTGATCTAAAAGTAAAAAGCAGAACTCAAATAGTGATGTGTTTGTGGTTTCCTCCTAGGTTATTTTATTCAGCTGTAAATGCAAAAAGCTTTAAACTTCTCTTTTACCTAAGTATGGTTTCTTTTTTCAATATATCTAATTAAGTTAGTCAGACTATGTCTTACCTGTAAACATCAGCTCTAATTAGAGAGTTGAGCGGATTACCACACACCATCCTTTCCCTTGAGGGCATTGTGATAGGAGATTGTCTCCTCTTTTCAACTCTTTTAAGTTTGATGAAGAAAAAGGTAATTTCCCCCTCCATCAACTCCCCATACTGTCTCAGCTTTGAATGAACTACTTGTTGAATTAAAGTAGATTCATAGACCGGAGCAAAGAAGTTCTCTCTGCAGAAGCAGCTGATGTTCTCAAATGCAGGTTTAGTAGTCTGACTCCAGTTTTATCTTGTGGATCAGTGGGCTGCTTTTCTGATAATACCACTTGCTACAAGTATTTCTTACAACTTCTGTGATTTCATTTGCAACACATAATTTTGAAAATAACTTCCTTCAAAAAGTAGATTATCCTTGTTTATTCTGCTCTGGTTTGGTACAGTGGCAGTTCTGGCACCTACACTTGCGTATTATGTTTGTATTAAAAACATGAAGTAAGTAACTTCAATTGCTTGCTGCTGCAAATTTATGTATAGCCACAAACCTGAAAAGCAAGATCTTGACCAGGAAGTTTTTCTGACTACTGAAATCTTGAGCACTTTATTTTAATTGGGTTATTCAAACTTTGTTTTGAATTTAAATTGAGAGGAATTTAAAATGTGGGGGTTTTCGCTGGGTTCTGCGTTGTCTGTGCCACTGAGGCAGAAAGACCTCAGGCGTGAGTTACTTCAGGCAGAGTGTGCAGGGAAATACAAGTGAAGCAGTACTGCTTCCAGGGCCAGAGGTCATCTGGCAGCAATCTACAAAGACTTGGGCTTTGCAAAGGCTTTGGCTACTGAGTCTTGCTGAACTAGAGGTGACTGCAGTGTCTCTGTGCTATGCTTCCCAGTCTGTCCCTGGTATTATCTTGATGTGTTAGTTGTTGGGGGGTATCACAGCCTCTGTGTTATTCCAGATAATGGATCATTAACTGTATGATAAAGTCGAATTCAGACTTCACAAGTGTTGGTGTTTAAAATGAGGTTAATACATGAACTTTCAAATGTTAAATACAGCTTCAGTTCTACAGTGGGGAAATAATTAATTAAACAAGAGTGCAATCTTTGTCATTTATCTCTTCAGAGGAGTGAAAGATGTACTGAAAAAGAGACTGAAAAACTATTATAAGAAACAGAAGCTGATGCAGAAGGAACAGATTAGTGGACAGAGCTGTTATGACTACATCTGTGTTGTTGACTTTGAAGCAACATGTGAAGAAGGAAACCCACCTGAATTTGTACATGAAATAATTGAGTTTCCTGTTGTCTTAGTAAACACACATACCCTGGAAATAGTAAGTGATCTAATTGCTGTGCTGGTTTGCTGTTCTTTGGTGTAACTTCTTTACATCTGAAAGTCTAGATTAGTTTTTAGGTAGATGTTGAACTTCATTAAAAACAGCATACTTTTTTCCATGAAGACCTGTTCTCTGTGCCTCTTAAGTACAAACAAAACTTTCTGTCTATTCTGAAAGCGTCTGGAATGGGTCATTCCGTTGTTGACTTCCTCTATTGATATGAGATTCTCAGTCATCCGTGTCTGTTCTCCCCTGGCCTGCCTTTACCAGCTTTAAGATCCACAAATCTATTTCTAGGAATCAAGGAATTCATTGTAATCAAAAATTAGCAAATTCTGTGGTCCTGTGTGAGGCAGTCTAGAAGACACTAATGCAGATGTCTAGAAAGTGAGGTTGAGTGAACTCTCGCTTATGTCAGGCTACACTGTTTCTATGACTTACCCAACAGATTTTAAACATACTTTGTAGGCATTTGGCAGCTTCAAGTGCTCTGTTCCGGTACAGCTTTCTTCTAGGAAAAACTTCTTGCTGTCTATCTGAAACTGAGTGACTCAGTGAAACAGAGTATGTGCACACACCTCTGACTAATGGTTCATTTATCAAGAACTAAGAGGAAGAGGATTTCCAGTAATCACTGTGATGCTACATTAGACTGTAGCTGCATGTATGACTAATTGCAGAAAGAGGATTATGCAGATTACCAAGATTGTTTTTATTACCTTTAGAGTGGTAGGAAACACTGCTCTTTTCTTCTGTCCAAGAGGTTTTGTGCTGTTGTAGTAGCAGGGATGTGGGGCTTGCTTTTTTCCATGAAACTTGCCTACAGTCTTCACTCCTGTATTGCTCAGTTTCCCAGACTGAGGTCATGTTTATCTTTGCCTGACTGACATCCAGAGGTGTAGGACTTGCATGCAGCCTCTGAGATGAGCGGCTAGTTGCTTTCCTTGAATTGCAGATGAGCCTTTAGATACCACCTAAAAGACATAAGGCTCTGCTCATGCCTCTCTTTTCTTTTTTCCTTACTCACATTCTCCTTTTCCCAAATCCTCCCCTTTTTTGCAGTCTGCCCTTCTCCCCTCTTAAATCCATGTTCCTGCTCTATGATGCCTTCTAGCTGAGAGGAAGGATGTGTTTTGGTTGGAAAGCCATCCATCCCATTAGGAATCTGATGATGGCCAGTCAGGAGGCTCATACTGGCTCAGGAGGTACACACTCCTTTTTGCATCCAGCAGGACAAGTAGCTGCTATTGCCTTTGGGCTGTAGGCAAGCCAAAGAAAAGTTGCATTGCGGGCTACACAGTGTGCTACAACTGAGCATTTGATTCTCTCATTACAGGAGGATAGCTTTCAGCAATACGTGAAGCCAGAGATTAATCCTAAGCTTTCAAACTTCTGCATCAATCTGACTGGAATAACCCAGGTAATTTGCACTTTCATTTCTTCAGGATAAAACATGAAAAAAAGTGTGATGTGGTGTTGATGTTTTCAGACTGGTAATCTTAAATGGTAATCGTTCATGGTTATTTTTCTGTAAGGCCTCTTCTCTTAATCCTTGTTTTTTTCCCTCTCCCAATATCACCTAATTGATTTCACTACACTGGTTATTTTGTAGGGAAAAGCACTCGCTTTGTAATTCATATGTAGAAACTTAATCTTTAGCAGAGCAAAGCACCTTTTGAATTGCATCAGTTCCTCTTCTAAGATTTTAATTCAAAAGAGTTTAGAGTCTTAGGATGGCAATTGCCTGTGGTCAGGTAACTTGAGCAGGAGCCTGGGAAACAAGCTCAAAAGGTTTTAATCAAAGTTCAGCTGCTGACTAACCTTGTTACCTTTGCAGAAGCTGTTAGGAGGTTGGCTCTTCTAGTGATGCTTTTGTGGTGCTATTTTTTAAGTTTAGACAAATCTGTACAGTTGCCTGTTAATGTGTGATCTGGTTTTCTAAAGATTTTGGTGAAGCCAATTTTGTAAGTACCCATATACCAATATACTTTTTACAGTTCGCGCTGGTTTGGGGTTTTTTTCCTGAAAAAATGTTCCTCGCTTTGGGGTTCTTTGTTTCTCCTAGGACATTGTTGATAAAGCTGATACTTTTCCTCAAGTTCTGCAGAATGTCGTGGAGTGGATGAGACAGCGAGAGCTGGGAACAAAGTACAGCTATTCCATGTTGACAGACGGGTATGTCCCTATGCAGCCTTCAGCACAATCTAAAACTGTGAAACCGTGTTTAATATTTGTGCGAGTACTGTTAAAGGTGGATCAGGACACTGCCATTTTGTTGTTTTATTTTGATTGAAGCTTTTGGGAAAATGAGCAAAGCTCAAGTAAACTATTTGAAATGAAGCTTAAATCCATCAGATGGCGCTGTTTCTTTCCTAGCGGTCTGTACCCAACGAAGTGCTGTTGAACAGACTTCTTATGCTTTGCTGTTGCTGTAATTCTTCATTTATGTCCAGCTTTCATATAGCACATAATACCTGAAAGTATCACTGTGCAATTTCAGTTCTAAGCGACTTCCATGCCCTGAGGCTTCAGAGATGTGTAGTGGTTGTGCTGTAGTGTCCTCTGTGAGTGTTAGTGTTAACGTTAATACATCTTGCATATTTTGCCAGAAAACAGTAATGGTTGTGATGTTTATGGAACAAAGAGAAATGGCTGGTGTGGAAACTTCTCTGCTTTGGCTTAGAGGGCTGCGGCTCTGGTGGGTCCCAGCTCTGACAAACTTTGTGTGTGAGGAATTGATTAGTCCCTCAAACTGCCACCTGAACTTACTCTCTCACAAGGTCTGTGTGGAAAATCAAGTCCCCTAATGACTGCAAAGTGAACAGGTCATGGGATCTAGACACAACTGTGATGCAATATTGTTCTTGTGATCTTAGCTTTGTTATATGGTGAAATATAGTGTTTGAGCCTTGTCTTGTATAGCACTGGACAGGGATTTTTTTTGCAGGTGATGCTTGCCTTTTAGCTGTGAAACATTACTATTCTGTTAGCATACCTGCTTTTATCCTTTTCTTGGAATGATTTAAGTAGGACAGGGAGTTTTTAACATGAGCTGTGTTAAGGTGAATGATGCATTTTTATGTTTGCCTGCAGTAGGAGTGCGTAAACTCAAAATCAGAGTTTATGAAAAAAAGAGCATGGGGAATCTTAGTAAAACTGTCTAACATTTCTATCAAGTGAAACACAGATAAATATTCTATAGTGTGAGTAGTTTGAAAAATAATGTATTGTAGTAGATGAATGGGTACATAACTAAAGTTTTATAACTAACCCAACTAAATTAAAAGGTGAGAAGTTATTTTTGGTCATGAGACCTTTTTCTCAAAATTCCTGAAGATTTAGGCAATTACTGTGAGTCACAGGCCTTTTCTGGTTAAGAACCGGTATCACTGAAATGTTGTTGTGTCCAGTGTAAACAGTGCAGCCATTTTTAAAGCTGTCACACAAGACTTGAGGTGTACAGTATAGATCCACGTACACCTTAAAAATAAGAAGTTAACGTAATGCCATTTCAACTTTAATTAATTTAAGGAACTGTAGTAAATTCTATTTGACTAATTTTTAACCTGTAATTACATTGCTATCTTTGGAAACAACAGTGAATAAAAAAAAGAAGATGCTAAAGCAAAACTTGTGCAAGACTGGTTATATTACTGGGCCTAAATGTCTCTGGACATCCTTTCCAGAGGAATCCTCTCAGTGAAATTCCTTAAGGAAAATACCTGCAGTGAAATCTCTGTCATATAAGTGAGATTGTGTAAACAGCTAAAAGAGATAAGAAAAGAAGCTTTATTTTAGCTTGAAGCTTACAAACTTGTTGGGGTGGTTCTCTTCAGGAAAGCAGGCTACAAGTGCGTAGGATTACAGTTTCATCTTTTCATAAGATCTGGTTTCTCATAAAACTAAGTGCAGTCTTGTTTCAATAACCTATGTGAAGTAGAGAGATGTGTGCGTACCCAAGTAATCAGGAAAATTTAAGGTGTCACTTGCTTCCCCAAGGGCTGGGTAAGCATCTAATTTATAGGCAGTTTTTGGAGTAGATGTGATAGGTGGAGTAGTGGGCATGCTATTTTTTGTTTTAACATCCTAATGAAAGTCTTGCTCATGTTCTTTTTTTTTTTCCCTACGAACAAATTCATGTTAAAAAATTCCTTACCATGACTATAGCAAAAGAGCTTTTCCTAAACTGTTTTCCTTCTACTGATCACCAGAGACAAGACAGCTTTTAGTGCTATGGCTATGCAATATATAGAATGTGGAATTGTATATTACTAATGTTTTTCTTTTTTAACTTTTTAAGATCTTGGGATATGAGTAAATTTTTGAACATCCAGTGCCGTATTAGCCGTATCAAATACCCTTCTTTTGCCAAAAAGTGGATCAATATTCGCAAATCATATGGGAACTTCTATAAGGTTTGTACAAATTGTTGTTTCTCCTACGGGAAAATTTTATTTAAAAGTCTGGAATGTCCTGTTGTGCTTCTCATCTCTGCTTGTGCAGTATAAAATTATAGTACTTAAACGAGTTGCCTGGGGCCTCGTTTTCAAATGTGTTTCATGTCCAGATCTCACTTCACTAATTGAAGATCATATAATCTACTGCATTTTGATTTTAATCTTATTTTTAAGATTCAGGATGTGCTCCATGAAGGATTGTATAAAAATATCGTACTGACCCTCTTAGATTTTAGATTAAATGTGTCTTGAAGTAGTTCAGCTGAAAAGACTCTATATTGATTTTTCAATTATTTTTTCCTGTTTTCATGTAATACACTACAGAACTAATTTGCACCACTACCCTCAGATAATCTTGACTTTTGACAGTGTAAAAGGGACAGAGAAAGATTAGGATAAATCTACAGAGGAATCAAATTGTCAGGAGAAAAGTAATACCAAGTTCATTGCTGGACCTTATTGCTGCTTTCTGTCAGATTACCATAAAATGAGTTACTTGAGATTCTAGCAAATTGTTCTTCTCCAGTCAAGGAGAAAAACAAGCTGTAGATTATCCAGTAGTCTTGATCTGCTGCTGGGATCGCTTAGTTAACTAGGAATTTTCCATGTGTTTTTTAAATGTGATTTCAGCCTTGCTGTTGATCTTCTTTTGAAGAGCTTTTTCATACTAAATGTAACGTCTAGATGAAAAAGAGATTGACATTTAATAAGAAAAGAGCTTTACTTTGTGTTGGGTATATACTACAGGGTTACTCCATTTCTCCCTCTATTATTGTGCCTTCTCTACAGCTTTAACCTAGACAAACCTTCTTTTTCCTGTTCTATTAAGGCATCATCAGAGGCAATGATGATTGTAGGTTGGAAGGAATTGGTTTATTTTTTGTGGGTTTTTTGGTTTTTTTAAAATATATGTAAATAGTTGTAGCATTTAGAGTTTTTCAGTGCTTCTGTTTAGCTATTCCATGCTGCTGTTGAATCTGTTGTTAAGTAATAGATAAAATTGATGGCAAGGAATGTACTGTAGCTTTTCTGTGGAATATCCCACAACTTGCAATATGCATCCCCTGCCCAGTTTTTTGTGTTATTATTGGAGTTGCATATTGCCAGGTTTTGGTAACTGTGCTGTTGCCATTCTGCCTACCTATTAAATCCAGTAGTATGGTGCAATATCTTGGAACTTGTCATGGCCCATGTTCCCCCATCCCAACCACCACCATCACCAAAAGAACCAGCTAAAGTTTTCATTTAAAGTTATCCTTCTGTTTTTCTTTGATGTTTCCAAAGAACAAGTGTGTATTTAGTAGTTAATCAAGAGAAGACCTTGGGGCTTTAACTGTTGTTGCACTTTGTATGGGTAAGTCAGTAAAGTTTCCTTGTATGTTCGTTCTGTTAGTCATCCATGTAAACATGGGCTGCTATAGGTGTTGCTGTGGTGGTTGGAAACATTCAGGAGCTTGATATCAGTGAGAAGCAGGAGCCTGTGCTTCCTTAATCACTTAGCATTTAAAAGGAAAACCAAAATCTGATTCCCTCTGCAATGCCACATTGGGTGGTAATTTGTTTTTTATTAAGATTGTTAAACCTGTCTAGGCCATGGCTTCCACCCTTGCCAGCGCAGGCACATCTTGAGCTGGTGCTGGTGAGAGGCTCTTGACATCATCCTGAGTCTAGACAAGCTCCTGTTGACTATGTCTCCTCTGTAAAAATGAGAGTGTCTGTCTCACCAAGGTACTTTGAAGTTAAATGGTTAGTGATCTGACAGAAGGCAACATGAAAGTATATGTGACTTAAGTAGACTTAAAATCTGCATGTGTTTCTACTGCACTATGGTAGATTAAAAAGACTTGGTACAGAAATTAATCCTTGAATGTTACTCACTTTCTCCATCAGGTTCCTAGGAACCAGACCAAGCTGACCATCATGCTTGAAAAGCTGGGCATGAATTATGATGGGAGACCTCACAGTGGACTTGATGACTCTAAAAACATTGCAAGGATAGCTATAAGGATGCTGCAGGATGGCTGTGACCTGCGAGTGAATGAGAGAATTCATGGTGGACAGCTTATGACAGTCTCCTCCTCAGCCCCCTTAGAGGGAGCCCCTGCTCCACAGATGCCCCGCTACAGAAATTAGCAATTCAGCAGTTCTGCCTCAGGAACTGCCCTCAGATGCCCTCTAAAGACTGTGTAGAGTTTATTAAACAGCCACCTTTGCCAGCTTGTCTGCCATGCAGAATTCTAAAGCACCTTAACTAATCATCTCCGTTGAAATAAAGAGGAACGTGGAGTTCCTTGAAGCCTGTTACAGCAATTTTTTTATACTGATGATTTTTGTTTTTTCAAACTTTGCTAGAACCAAGGTTGATATGCAGAATCCCTAAGCTTTTGAGAGCATGTAATTTAAACACCTGCAAAGATGGATTGCTGCCGTTCCACCCCAGCCTGTGGGTTGTATTTATTCACTGTGCTGTACTCTAATCATATCTAGCATCTGCTTATTCATTGCACACAAATAAGCCACTACTGGAAGAACTGAAATAGCAAGTGGTCGGGCTGGCCTTTCCTGATAAGGCCCTCTTCCAGGAGTTCTTGCCAATTTTTTTTGTTTTTTGCAAAGTCTGGGAGAAATGGGAGCATGCTCATCAACTCTAAAGCAGTAGAGAAGTACTCTGGTGTTCAGGGCTTTTTTTTTAAGGGATATGTTTGTCTCCTTCCCCATCAAATAGAAGAGCTGTGTATTGAATAAAAATTTTGTTAATACAATATGATAGTACTTTTTTTTAACCTGTATTTCAAAAGAGAAGGTTCTTCAGATTTTCACTTTGAGGATCACATCTGTTCCTGCTATACTCATAGCTGCCCTTCATTTAATGTCACTTTTAGACACTGTCAGCCATTTGGGCTTAAACATGAGTGAAGTAAAAGTAAGTTCAAAACATGACAGATCATCAAAATTTCATGCTCTGTGATTATTACATTAAACAGGAAGCTTCTGGTTCATAGCTAAAAACATCCTCAACTATTTTTGGCATCTTCTTGTGCTTCTGCCACCTCTATCTCAAGATCTAATGTTGGAAGATTAATGTAATTTTATTAGTAAAGGCCACAGCTAATTACTAACAACTTCTGCTTACTTCCCAGGCCTCAGATAGGATGATATTCAAAAGAGGCCGAAGTGTTAATTTGTTTTGTCTCCATGGGCTGTTACAAAGTTACAACATTAATGTGATCAGCTTTGCATTAGAATGGCTTGCTCTAAAAAGCAGAATGATGCATTTTGGTTGCTCTTAGCCAAAAAAAAAAAAAGTTAGTTTGCTATCCCTGTATTACAATTCATTCTTTCTACCACTTTATATTCAGGAAGCAAAATAACCAGTTAATAAAGCTTTGTTAAGAAAATTCACTGTTGACTAATCAAACTTGTCCCAGCCCCTCTTTGCTCTTCTGACTGTTAAATCGCATCAATGGAAATGTGAAAGCTTTTATTTTAAATTTGTGTAAGAAGGAGATGTATTGGCCAATTCTTATTTGCTTCATATGTTTTCTTTCCAGAGTCACAGATTTGGATAGTCACAGCTGCTTTGACTGCTTTAGAATGATGTTCTTTTTTTTTTTTTTTTCCAAAAGCAAATACTTGTTCTACTTGTAGAGTTTTGTTGAACTTAACAGTTTCTTTTCCTTCTGTAGCCACACTTGATGGATTTTCAGAAGGGAAAAATCCAAATCTCTGATGTTCTTACTCCTAAAATACCATTTATCTGTCAGCCCGTATTTTGTACAAATTCTTATATATGTGCTTTTCACTGTAGCTGCCATAGTATCCTCTTTTCTGAATAACCATGGTAATTTACTTTTTTTTTTTGACTCTGAGTTACTGTGTGCAGGTTTCTATGATGAAATTGAGTCTAGCTCAGCAGATCTCCCCTTGGCATGCTGGCTGCCAGAGACTTTATCACTAGTCTTTTATTTACAGGTCTGTAACCAGGTTCACAGTTGAAGGAAAAACTTTTATTTGTTACAGATTATACTACGGGTTGCGTAAGAGCTTTGTAATTTTACATCGTTTATTTTAAGTACAGAGTTGTTTATTTTTGTTAAATAACTTCAAAAAGATATTTTGAGATAAAGGTTAAATAATAATTGTTTTCTGTTTACTACTTGGGTAGGTTAGTGAGTTTTTTTGTGAATGAGTTGCAGAAATCAGTAAAATCATTCCAGATGCTATTTTGTCCAAGTTGGATTAATGTTAGTTGTAACTATTTTCGCAGAATATTTGAGTCTGTGATTTTGAGATAAAGTGAATTTTAACAAAGTTTGCTGGTTTGCTTGAAATGTAAATAAACTATTAAAATAATTTTGCATTTTGAAACCTATCAGGTAGTGAATTTGGTCTATAAAGCATGAGATGATTTCAGCAGTCTTGGGGGTCTTGGTGTCAGCACAGCTCATGGTTAGTCCTCTCTGGTGGACTAGCAACATTGCCATGGCTGGGTGGCTTAAATCTCTTGCATGTGACTAGTTCACAACACTCGATAACAGGATAAATTTTCCTGGATGCTTTCTACCACAGGGGAAGGAGGCATTTGAGAGAAAAAAAATGCAGTACGGTGATTTTGCTAGTGATGCTTGTGTTCAGCCAAAGAATGTTTTTTTCAGGTTGATCTCATTTGTTCCTCCAGAAAAGCTTGCTGAGTGCATCTGCTCCCATGAATATTTTAATTTATTAGAGGAGTCATCCCATGCTGGAAAAACTAATTGACAACTATGTACAAAACAATCTCGTTTTTATGCAGAAGAAAAGCATGCAGATGTTGCCCTGTTGATAGAGTAAGAGTCCTTGTTTTGTTGTTGTTTTTTATTTCACATTTCAGGAGCTGTACTTGAGCAATTCTACCGCTACTGCAGACAGCCTTTGTAGAACAGTAGCAAACTTTAAACAAAGGAATTGCAGACTAATTTCAACGTGAGTGCTTTCAAGTAGGTTTGTTAATATGTATTTATATGAATGTGAGAGGGTTTCACAGAATCTTGGGGTTATGTTAGGCAAAAAGGTTTCTCAGACAGGTTAAAGAGCAATAGCCTCACTGTCTCGATGAGCAAATACCTAAGCAAATGGGAAGAAGAGGTCACAACAGTTTGTACTGTCCTGTCAACCTCCTAGTGAGATACGGCTACAGGGACAGCTCACAGCAGGTCAGCTGTCCACAGAAACTGCTCCTGTGTTTATCTTATGATAAGGTAACTTAATAATTTAGTTTAACAAGGTGGTTCTTTCCATATTTGGTTGGAAATTACCACTGCAGTGAGGAGGGGGGCAGTGAAAGTAAGTAAAAACCTCAGTTCACCTTGAGCTGAGTTCTTGTGCCCTTGGAAGGCTCTCAGCACTTCACTGAAGGCCTTCACCACTCTTTGGTGGCCTTGCAAAAACAATGTTGTTTTCACTCTTTCTCTCACCTTATCTTCACATGGCTGTTTTTAAGTCCTCCTTTTCCCTTTTTCTTCCACTAATGAACTTTTGTCTCCTCTGGAAAGAAGTTTGTGCTAGGTAAGATCTTTGTATGCTCTGTCTAATCTAGAAAAAAAAATTATAACCAACAGGCCCTTTATAAAGAAATTGGAAGTTTTACCTGTGGAGGATAGGTGTAAGGAGACCCAGTTGCTGACTGCAGGCTTTTGAAACAGGCTAAATGTATAGAACATCATTCTGTTGCAACCAAGTCCATTCTAGCCCTCTCTCAAGTACTTCATGTTTGGCACCCCCATGGGTAGCAGTGGCAGCTTGGCAGGAGGATTCACCAGATGGAGATACATGAAGTAGGTAGGTGATCATCAGTACATGCTTCTGCTCTGCCTTGTACTAAGCTGTGGCTTTAGGGCTTTAGCTGCATCCATACTTGCTAAGCTAAGGCTTTGCAGGTTGAGAAGTTTCTTCTCTCTTAGGTTCCTTCTAGGTCGGTCCTTTCATGTTCACAGCCTCCAACACTTGACTGGCTTTTGCCCTCTTTAAATTGGAGGACTTGGTGTTGTGGGACAAAAGCCTGAAGTAGCTTAAGGAATGTGCTCTTTAAACAGAAGGAGTGTGACTTCTTTGCACGATGTAGCCTCATATGAAAAAAAGTCTTTTTCAAATGAATGACAAGAGCCTTGGACACCTCTTTATGGCAGAGGTGACCTCTGGGTGTGTTCTGATTAGGGAGGTGATTGCAAGGCTCAGGAACTGTCTCCTCTGTGGCCACTCAGTTCACGGGTGCCTGTGGGTAGCCCCATGTCCTGCTCCTGCAGTCTTAACTTGGTGTGGTCATGACTGCACATCTTAATTGTAAATCTTGTGATGCTGCTTGCAGATATATCATGGGGGAGGTTCTGCCTACTTTCCTGGCTGAATTTGTGCTAATCGTGTTTTTTTGCTATTTGAAGTGAATGGTAGCAATGGTCTTGCATTGGTGTAAAGTACTTGCAGGTGATTCTGACCTCCTCTGTTTACGTTCCCTGTTTCAATTATGTTGATTTCTAAAGAGCACATGTAGCCAAATGGACCCTGTGAGCCACAGGTGTCCCAATAAGCGGGAATTGCTTCACTGTGGTTGTATTTATGTTTGGGGTGGTGTGCAGGTCCCCGGTTGCAGGCCAGCTTTGAAGTGTGACACACCTTTCCAGAAAGCTACATACTCAGCAAAATGCTTTATGACTGCAGTCAGTATGATTTGAAGGTCTCCTTGCTGTGTGCCTTTATTTCATAATTCCTAGGTTGAATTGATAAGGAGTTGAATACTTACGATCTGAGCAGCATGAAAGCATTTTATATGTAATTTAGAGATAGGTGTAGCAGGCAGCTGTATGAGGCTTAATGTGCCTCCCTTTCTCACTTGAAAACACTTCCATTCATCCATATATGAACTAAGATGATAGAGACCTAAAAAGAAGGGAGAAGTGACATGTAATTAGCTGATCTAGGCAGGCTAGGCCCAATACGCGCTTCTACTTTTCCATATAGACTGTTTAACACAGCTGAACTTTGAGAACAGGCTCTTTGGGATACTAAACACCGTGTACAATGAGGGTAACTGACTGCTTCTGTCCTGTATGTTCTGGCTGTATTTAAGTACAGTCTGGGAGATAGCACAGTCATACATTGGTGTAGTCCACAAAGAGAGGGAAGTTGGAGCCAGCCACTCATGTTAGTGATAGCTGTGCTCCAAACGGGAGTTCGGACGGGGGACCTTCCCACTTCCTTTCCAAACAACACAGCTCTGGTTCTGTGAAAACCACTCAAGGAGAAAAACAAGC